AAACTAGAAAACGATATTAGGAATTCTAGAAAAGTAGTCCTAACTGGAAAGGACATTTATATGCCTCGTAAATAATCTACCTAAACTAGAAAACCAACTTAAAAAGGAAAATCCTTAATAACACTAAAAAAGAAATTTTAAGGAGACTTAGAAGCAAAGAATCCTAAATCCTTAGGAACCTCTTATTTTTCCTGCATCATTTCTCCCGGGGTTGCAGAAAATTGTCCTCAAGTTGCTTTCATTTCCAGCTATGAATTTCATTTCTGAAAATCTTTTTCATCTTGGCTTTGTTCCTTGATCCTTGTAGATAGTAGATTATTGTATTCACATTTGATGCTCTTCAGTTGTCGATATACTCCAAGGGTTCTGTAAAACTATGGATTACTAGAATCCCTTCATGAATATTTTGTCTCGCTTCTTCTGGCATGAAATTTTCCCATGTCTTATCAAATTCTGTGGTATCTGCAATTATATTGACTTGGAGAGTTTAGAAGTTTCATTAAATTCTTGATAAACAACCTTGTCCAGAACATTTGACAATCTCATTGTTAGCATACTTATCATAGATTGGTAGCTTGTTCCTTATCAAAGCAATCTTCATCATTCTCTTGACTGCTTCCAATAGATCTAAGTGATCAGGGTTATCCACTTCTACCTTCATTTCAACTCCAACATGTATCCCTCTATTGTCTTCCAGAACATCCATTTGGACATCGACTTGTTCTCTGGGCAGGTTATATATTTCTTGCTTGGTCTGATCATATTCTTTTGGATCTCAAAAATCTGTTGGGCTTGAGTTAGTCTATAGACTTGTTTGCGTTTTTGCCATGACTGAACCAGATTTGTTTTTGGCATTAACATCAATTTGATGGTATGAAAGATAGTGATATCTAGAAAGAGAGAGAGAATAGGGCAGTGCGTATGATGAAATGAGTAGTGACTTGACTCTTCTACATAGCGAGAAATTCTATCAATTTTTATTTAGTATTAAAAATTGAATAATATGGTGCCAGTTATCAGAAATAGGTCACTACTAGTTCTCACAGGATCTAGAAAAGTAGTCCTTACCAAAAAGGCAAACTTATGTCTTAGATATCCAACTATAATAGAAAAACAACATAAATAGGAAGATGCTAAATAGCAATGTAGGCAATCCTAAGAAAGCATACATACAAAGATTCCTAAATCTTTAAGGATTTAATTTTTGGTATTAATGCAACCTGTAGTTTATTTGACATGTTAACACTTGTCATGATGCAGGGTGCACAGCTTAGAAAGCACATTGATGCCACCTTGGGTAGTGGAAACCTGAGAGAAGCAGTAAGGCTTCCCCCTGGGGAGGATTTAAATGAGTGGCTTGCTGTCAACAGTAAGTTCTCTCAATCCCTGTCAATAGTGAAAACACTCTTTCAAAAAAATAGTGAAAACACTCTTTCTGTTCTTTACTGCAAAATAATTTATTCTTGTGCAGTCCCTGGAGAGATATGTTATTTATTTTTAAGCTAATTCAGTTAAATAAGAAAAGGGAAAGTAACATTTACGACTAAATATTTTGAATCATGCTGCAGTATCTTCATGTACATTTAATTCAGACAATTAACTTATTTGTACTTTTTTCATGTTTCAAATAGCACCTTCTGTTAGAATTATCTCTATTAATATCAAATCACAAGGTCAAATGCTGCAAATCTAACACAACTAATAATTAATTTTTTTCCTTCCCCTCCCAATTTAGCTCCTTTTCATGTCTATCATGCAAGGATGCATTTTGCAACTTTCAGAAATCATGTCTTTGCCTCATCTTGACCTCTCTCAGGTTTCTCTAATTTTTCACTGCAAATCTTCTAGCTCGTCAATCTCTATGCAGTTGTTCTTTTTTTTTCTTCTTTCCATAATCATGGATCTTGCATTCACATTTCCAACTGTGTAGGCAGTTTGTGACCTTCCATATTTTAATGTTATTTTTATATTACCAAGACGTAAGCTTTAATTTGGTTGTTGTAAGAGCGGATGAGGAGATGGGAAAGAAGAAGAGAAGAATCAATATCCTTTTGCATTCTCAAGGGACTTTGATTCTGGGTATAGGATTACTTGACTTGAGAAGTAAGAGAGTGGAAACAAAAGACTCGGAAGGAGACATTCTGTGGAGACACTTGATGAACTTAGAAATATACAATGGAGTCTAATATAATCATTGCGGATATTGTTATAACAAGGAAATATGTGAAAATGATAAGAGAGGAAAGGTGATGTGGAGAAGATGAGAGAGGAAAAATTGATGTATTTTTGGTGGAATTTCGGGATTTAGGTGTTGAGAAGGGAGGCAATTAGGGATTTTGACTTTTTTTCTATTAAATGAGAATAATAATATTAAATGAAATGGTAAATTACTTCATTATCCTTAGAGATACTATCGTGTAATGCAATTATGTTTAACATTAACAGTCGTTATAACAAAAGTTGCTATTTGAAGTGTGAGTAAAGGTGATTATTGTCTCAATTAAAATCCAGCATTGTAATTGCAATATTGCACAAAATATAGGGTGGAAATGTAACTTGCCGTGAAAAGAGTAAACAGTTTTTACTCCTCCTGCCTGGATTATCATATAATTTGTTTCTGATAAGGTTGTATTTTCCGAATGTCAGCCGTCGATTTCTTCAACCAGGTGAATCTGCTCTATGGTACTCTCACAGAGTTCTGTACACCGGAAAACTGCCCTACAATGACTGCTGGTCCCAAGTATGGCTCATTATATGGTTATATTTCTTTTTTCATTTTCTTTCGGAACTAAAATTACGAGGTTATTTCAAATGCTTCATCTTTTGTCCTTTTTCATTTCAACTTGTTTTTTTATTAAAGCATTTTTTTCCCCTAATGCTTGAAACACTGGTTTTTAGAGCTTTTTTTTTGTCCACATTTAATCTGCCAAAGTAGTTAGAAAGGCAGGAGGCCAACTATTCTAAATTCTAATAATTTTTAGGATCTGGAAGGACAAAACTACTGAAATATTTATATGTTAGCCATGGGCAGTCAACTAATGGATAATTAATGATCATGTTGATTCTGGAAGAACATTTTTGGGCTCTTTTCTTATATAGATCAAGTGTAGTAAGTGGTCTTGTATATAAGGTTGCATGTGGTCTTGATCGTTAGGGTACTCATTCTGGGGGCTACTCAGGACCCCTTCGGATATGCTCACTTCCTTCCCCTAATGCTTTCACATATTAAACTGCAAAAAGAGAAAGAATATATGTTTCTTGCATCTTTTCATTATAATCTTTGGACATGGATTATAACAAACAGAATGTCCACCATATTTTTTGGGCACTGTAACAGGGTTTTATTTATTTATTTATTGTATTATATATATTAACTGCCTGTTTATGCTCCCTATTTACTTGGCCAAGCCTTGAATTAACTTCTGTTATTCTCTATGTTTTCAATGATTTCTAGACTCAGAAGTTCTTTTGTAGCTTTTGTTTCATTTTAGTTAACCTTGAAGTTTTTTTTTTTTATTAAAAAAAGAAAAAGAAATTCCTGAAATTTTAACGTTTCCCTCTCCATCTCTTCCTCCTACTTTATAAACATGCATGCACACATGTAAGTTGCTTCTGAATGCTATTTCTGGTGTATTAATTGCCTGTTTATATTTCTTTTTTATTTGGTCAAGCCTTGAATTAACTTGAGTTATTCTTTGTATTTTCAGAGATGTGTAGACTGAGAAGTTCTTCTTTAGCTTCTGTTTCATTTTGACTAACCTTGAATTCTTTTTTAATTTCCTGATACTTGCCCCTCCTCTCCCCTCCTCTCTCTCCCACACACCCGCATACACACTCATGTAAACTGCTGTCAGTTGCCTGAGTGGTTAGTTGATTTTGAGCAATTACTTGCATGGAGGATAACCTTAAGTTGGTCAAGCTTTTTTTTGTTTACCCTATGAACTATTCAAATATTTGTCTTGCTATGTTTGTGTTGTTTATTAATCAATACAGATGTAAATTTACAGGTATGAGTACAGATGGGCAGATGGCGTACAAATCAAGAAACCAATTGAGGTGTCTGCTCCAAAATATGTTGAATATTTAATGGATTGGATTGAAGTTCAGCTTGATGACGAGTCCATATTTCCTCAAAAGCTTGGTAATATATGAAAGATTCTTTAAAAAAAAAAGAAAATTCCTTCTAGTTCCTTGTCTTTCTATCTGGCAAATGTGGATGGTTTGAGTTGGCTTAACTCAGGTGATCATATTTGGGATTGAAAAACTCAAACTGGAGTCAATCAACATGTCAAGTTCAGTTTGGAGTACTTTTCAGGGTGCATGAAATTGACACTTAGCCCATTAAATTAATTGGGTTTGAACAGGTGCAAGTAGAGATAGTTGAAAAGGCTAAATCTGGAAGCTATCAATTGATTTGACTTGGTTCGGTAGGAATAGCTGTGTAGTTATGCCTACTCAAAATCCTTTCAATGTGGATCAGGTTTCAAGGGGGCCTGGGTGGTTAATTTTTGTTAGATTTTGCTGCATGTAGTTGTGCTAAGGTCAAAGGTTGATGCCATTTGGTGGAGCTATGTGAAATTATCTACGTTTTGATCTATAGTATGGTGCTATTTCATTTAGGTCTCGTAGCTGCAGGTGTGGCTACAAGTTTCTTTGCTATGAATATATGCTTATTCCTGATTGTGTCTCTTAAATTTGTTAGGTGCACCATTTCCTGTCAACTTCAAGGAGGTTGTGAAGACAATATTCAAACGACTTTTCCGTGTATATGCCCACATATATCACTCGCACTTTCAGAAAATTGTGAGTCTCAAGGAGGAAGCCCATCTAAATACATGCTTCAAGCATTTCATACTATTTACACATGTAAGTCCTTTTTTTAAATGTCTTGATGATTGACCTGTATGTTCTCAAATTCTAAATTTATTATGTTTCTCAATTCTCTTGTTTGAAAATTGACAAATATCAATATCAAAGACGCATATTAAGCTTACTTAGATTATTTGTTCCTTCTATATCATCCATCAGGATCTCATATAAAGCTTTATCACTGTTTAACCATTGTGGTTGTATGTAACATATTCCTCTCCAACTTGCCATTTTCATCAACTGGTTGATTATAACCATACTTCCTGGGTCTTTCGGGCATCTGTACTACATCCTGACTTAACATGTTGATGAGTTTGATTGTCTTCTTTTCATCATTTTGAATGGTGTCTATCTTAAGTGTCACAATATGCTCTTAATTGGACAATATATGGAGTTTTTATGTATTATTTGATAAGTTGCATTCCTTACCTGTTTGATATCAAGGTAACCTTTTTTCTTTTAAGTAGAATTAGGATTGTCCAAATACAAACTTCCAGAGCTAACAAATTCCACTAGAAGGTTTCAAACAGATCAACTTACTAATATAGCATCTTACAACTACTGCAACATAAGCCTAGGGAAATTGCAAATTCACCTGCTCATGCTATAGACAACCGAATACAGCTGCTAGAATCATATCTACCACTTCAGAATCCTAGTGAATCTGCCAATCATACACTGACAATATACATCTATACAACCTTAAAGGAGCAGCAATAGAATCTTGAAATCCTAAAATGATCCCTGCAAAATTGAAGGAAGATCATTGCATTCCAGTACCATCATACATATCCTAAGGACCATAGAAACCTACCAATCAGCCGGCCCTGCATATGAAATCTGATTGCATTTTGCTGCATGAGATGAACCTTTATAGGTTGCAGTTCAAATAAGAAACAACATTCAAAACTTGGGATCAAATGAATTCTTGGGAGTAATTTGCAAAGTCTGGGAAGACTATAGAATCAAGAATCATGGAGGCAACGGAACTCATCAGGACATACATTCTGCAAAACCTGGGGAGACTTCTCAATCTGCAGCCAACCAATGAAGGATTGAATGGAGGGAAGATAGAAGTACGTGAAAAAGCATTTTTCAGAAGTATGAACAGGAAAAAAACATTAATTTCCATATCCAGATTGTATCACCAACACCAAACCACAGAAAACCCACTCATAAAACAACTCGAAATTTCCATATCCAGATTCCAATAAAACAAAGCCCCTTCCACATGAAAATGAAGCAAGCTCAGAGAGAAGCCAGAACACAGTATGAGAGCCTGCTCAAGATCAGCTCTAGATTCCTGAAGTAACAGCCATGCTTCTGCAGCCCGACCAACAACCAAATTGGCTGAAGAATCTACTAATGCATTTTATTCTCTATTGACATTTGCAAATTCAATTCCTCAGATGTATTCCACCAAAGATTGAATTTCATTAATTTCGGGGTTAAGAGGCAAAGGTCTCAACCCTGTCAATCATGGCTGCTACACAAGTGACTTTTCACCACCCAGCCACCCACATACCCCATCCTTGTGGACCAATCCTAAGAGCTTCCTTTTTTGCCAATTCGGTTGTATTAAGATACACAATCCAAATGGTCAAGGAGAATATACTTCTTCAACTGTTAGCTGCAAGTCTCAAAGTACCCCTCCAAGTCTTGTGGGACTTGACTTCCCTTGCACCAAGACATCAACATTAAATTTCCAACAATTTAAAGGACACCATATATCAGATTGAACCAACCTCTCTCCTTGCCTTGCAGAGTATCTACTGATGTTATAGAAACATAAAGATCATTTATTGGGACTCCTGAGAGAGCTGGGAACTCAGCTTTGACCCTAAGTCGACTAAGATCCATAAGATCAACATCAGAAATGGACTTTTGCATAAATACCACCTCATTTCTAGCCAACTAAGTTGACCAAACTACTATGGCTATGTTTGAAACAAGAGTAGAAATTCAAACATTTCAATAATTGGGTGACATTTATGCACCAATAATAACACAATCAACCTCCTAACCTACATAAAAGAGCACGGGTCGATTCAGACCCGCATCTTCATAGAGAAGAGTTGATGTATCAATCATCCAAGCTAAAGGATGACTGGTATACTTGGACAATTTAAGATTTTTGTAAAATTAATTTGTAAATCTACATATATTTTAATTATAAGTCCTTTAAAAAAAATATTTTAACTATAAGATGATGAGAGTTTTATTTAAAATAATAAACATTGAGTTCACATTAAATTTCATGCGGAACTGAATATATACTTTGAATTTCAACAGTTTTCGTGGAATTTGTAATCATTTGTTTTTTTCCATATGGAATATCATATGAATTCAAATATTTTTGTCATCTTAATACAATTTAAAATATCTCCTAGTTGAATTAGATTTAGATTTATAAATGGATTCCACTATATTTTGGATTTGTTCTTAATATATTCTACATAAAATAGAATGTAAATATTTCCCTTTTATGATGATACATAGGATGAAAACTACCTTATGCTGCAAATAACCCACCCAGGTCTCCTGGTACTACTCACCTAAATTCCGACCACCTAAGACAGGTTGACCAGACGGACCAAAACCAACTACAGAACAAGGAAAGGTTATTAACTGATTCTTTTCCGAAGGATGATTATAGAAAACCTTAAGTTTGAGCTAGATGAATGTTACAGCTATACCTCAAGCTGACTAACCTGATAACTGTTAGAACACAAATTTTACACTGTTCTCAAGCTCAAATTTCTCTTCCTTGGGCTCTAGTTGGTAGGAGGGGAAACTGAGGGAATAAAGAGGACAGAAAAGTGAGAAGGAAGGAGTAATCTTTCCAGTTCCACTATATATTTGGTAGAAAGGAGCGAAATTTGAAAGGAATAAGTAAAATAATAATTAAAAAAATCGTTTTAGTTTCTTCCTTTCAATCTTCCCAAGTTAGGAGGATTGAAATGGAAAAAGCATGCATATCTTTGCAATTTTCCTTTTTCTCCCTTTTAGCAAGATGTTTGCACTTCTGCCATGTCTTTCCAGAATTTATTCGAGAGAAGGAATGGAAGCCTATCCCCATATTTTGAGTTGGTTTGTAATTTGGCTAACGGAGTCAAACTGGTTACAAGCAATCATGGTTCCACAACATTCTTCACCAAAATCCTAGAGACTGTAGGTAGGAAATATGGTAATTTCTAGTCACTATCACTGAGTGCCATAGTATTGCTGCAAAATGACATTGCTGAATGGAGTCTTGTGACAGTTGGGTGACTGTTGTTAATAAATATTCAATAATTAGGAGCAAATAAGATCATAAGTTTAAGCAACTTTTTTTTAATAATAGTCGCATGAGAAAATACCTGAAAGGTAGTGAAACTTTATGTCACGGAATAATTCAACTATTAAATCCTGATGAAGCAGTTAATTTCTTGCTGGCTTTTAGGTTTGCTTTATTGAGTACCTTGTTTTTGTCTGCAGGAATTTGGGCTAATTGACAAGAAGGAGCTAGCACCTCTTCAAGAGCTTATAGAATCCATCATTGTCCCTTATTGAATGGATGCAGTGAGAGATTTTAGCAACATGATAAACATAGATGAATAATGTTAATAAATAATGATTTGCTGCTGATTATCTTATTCTATAAAATGACTTATGGGGTATGTATCGATAACTCTTTAATTGTTTAAAGTTTGGATGGAAAAGTTTCTTCTATAAATCAAGAAAATTGCAGAAAGACACTAGTTCAGGCTGAGCCTTGTTTGCTGCAATATTTACATGCCTGCATTTTCAGGGTGACCCGACATTCAAGTCGAGGATCTTTCGTGGTACTGGAAAATTATGATTGTTATAGACGATTTTCTTTTTCCTATTGTATTAAACTAGAAATATTATTTAAAGAATTTTTTTTAAAAAAAGAAAATTATATCCTCATATTGTTTCATATTTATACTGCCAGATTGTCACACAAACACACATGCATATATAAACCGATTTTCTTGCAGAATTTTTAAATAATTGACATTCTTTCCTTTTCTTCTTTTGTGTACTATTCATGTGAAGTAATATATGAATAGTAAAGGCATGTTGGGTCTTTGTGAGTCATAAAAAAAACATAGTAAATGATTAATTTGGTTGTTTTAGCTAGTAGGTAGTTAAAAAATTTGATGTTGAACTGAATGGTCAGCAAATTTTTTTTTTTTTTTTTTAATAAAAAATTATGAGTTTGAATTAAATTATATTCTTATATTTATTTTTATTTAAAAGTTATTTTTATTTTATTATGTTATAATTGATATTTGTATATTAATTTATTGATATATGTATATATTTTTTACTTGAAAAAATTAGTTGACTATTTATATCATGTTTTATATAATTGGGATCATTTGTGATTCATACCCCATTTTTAAGTGGAGTATTTTGAGAAGGACTAGAAAGAAAAGCAGGCATGGAGAAGAACTCATAATCACCCACTTGCCTCCTCTTCTCTCCTTTTCCTACTCAGACCAACTCTAAAAAGAACTTTTCCAAAACGAGTGTCGCTTTGAGGGTTCAATAGTGAATTTGTTCTGAGTTTATTGTGATATGGGCAAAACCAAGATCAAGGGCCATTAATTGTTGGGCTTTTCAATTTGGGTCAAACAGAAATAAAGGATTAGGCTGAGGCTTTTCTTTGGGTTTAAGGGTTTCAGCAAAACTTTAAGATGTATGTTAAAATATATGGATACAATAGTAATAATGACTACAATAGTATAGATAAATTTGTTTTTCTTCAGAATTTAATTGAAATAAAAATTAATCTTAAAAAAAAATTAGAATATTACACTTTAATGTAGAGAAAAAATTAATTGATTTTCAAAGTTGCCTCCTGATGGTATTTAGGTTAGTATTTGGCATGATCACTAAGTGTAAAATCTAACAACATCAACTTTTTCAATAACTAAATCTTAAAAATAAGAAATAATGCAAAGAAAGAAGCGAACAAAAAGTTAATGAGCATGAACTACTTACCTATAAAAAGAAAAACTTCTAGAAATCAGTTGTGCATAGCAAATTTTGCTATGTCTAACCTAATAATAATTTTCATGAGAAGAATTAGGATATGAACTTTTTTGTCATCTTTTTCTCGACTAACATTAAGAATACATTAGGCTCCCATGTGTCTTTCATAAATCAAAAGAAATTGGACAAAGAGACAAGTAAACAACATGAAACTAGGATGGTGAAGTACAATCTTTTTCTTTTCATAGAAGAATCCAAGTGAAATTTAGATTAAGGAAAGAATCTTAATAAGGGAAATAAAAAGGCATGAAAATGTCTGAAACCACAATTTGATTTTCTATAGGAAAAGGAAGTCAAGAATTGTGTTGAATTGCTCATAAAGATAACATGTTTATTAGTTATTAATGGAAACATGCTCTCTGGTTCCCATTAAATGGAAATAGTATGGAGGAGTTTATGTCAAGTTGAGGAGAGCCTAATCTGTCCCATAAGAACTTCTCTAAGTTTTTTAAGGTTGAAAAGAGTCATGGTAAAAGACTATGCAAGTTCTAATATGACTTTTAAGACCATAATGGTTTTATTTATAAAAGTTTAAAAAAGTTAAATAGATAAAAATAAAAAAGAAATATCAGCTCTACTTACAAGTGGTACATATAAAAGTCTATATAGCATATACTAAAGCTAAATGAAACTTATTGTAACATCCCAAAAATTTAATTGAAGGATAATATTGCATTAATAAGATATTAACATAAATAATTAAGAATTTAACATTTACATTACTTACTCAGTTTAATCAGAATGCCTAATAGGGTTACAGAAATGTCATTTAAAGGAAATTAAAATAATAAAATAAAAGTACAACTAAAAACCTATAGGGTCGACCTCCGTACCGCAACTGGTAGGAAACGGGAGGTAACATTTAATCACTAACTTTCTTACTGTTCCAGATCCAGATCTTGATCGTTTTGATATGAAATGGTTAAATAAGGGACATGAACTATATTAAGCTAGTAAGAATATCAATCATTTACAATCGATACGAAAAATCAAAGGTTGGTTAAAATAGCAAAACAACTAATAGAGTTATTTTTTTTTATAGGTAAATTCATTTTATTTTAAAAAAACGTTAGTTTCATACTCACCTTTTAGGTTCCCAAATACGACTTGTGAAGGAAAGAATCAAGATAGCAATCCATTAGACATACTAAGAAACCAACAATAATCAATTTTTACCTTTGTACTTACTTACCGGTGTCTCTAAGGGTCCATAGGGGTTCTCACTATATGTGGAGCCAATATCCAATCTATTAATTAACCGGTCATCATCATACCTTGTCCGCTTATGGGCACCAAACATATCACCGTCTCAATATCCCATCCGGTATGAGGGTGAATAAATACTTTCCAACCTCTTCTGGTATAGGACTTTTTAGTCCTGTTCGACTGAAGTAGCGTTCACAGTAGGGTTTGCCCTATGCACCAGGTCCGTACATCCTTTCCCATGACACCAGGTAAGCTTTTTACATACACATCCTTATCATCAACCAGCCATCAGTTACATACAACAATCTCATTTCATAATTACAGGACAATGGAACAACAATTAAGCAGATAATATAATTTGATACTTTAACAAATAAGAAAAGTGTAATAAGGACATTTATTTCAAAACAATTAACAAATATGGATAAAAAAGTTAAGTAAACTAATAAATGAGAAGGCCATTGAACCAATGAATTAAAGTGCATGTGGTAAGCAATCAAGGACAACCTAGCAATAAATGAGCAATACATATAAAATAAATAATTTCATACTGACTAGTTATCGGCTCCATCGATAACCTGTATTTAATTTATTAGAAGTTGGTAATATTCACAAATTTCACCGTTTATTATTTGTTAAATTTTAATTAACGATAACGGGAGAAAGGATGAGGGATTCTTATCACGGATCGGCATTTGAAACACCATCTTTTTTCACTGTACTTCTTGACAGTTCCCAAATTTCTTGAGTTTTTCTACGAAAATCAAAAACACGTGTTACATATCTCGAAATATCCAAAAAGGGCCAAAAGAAAGGGTTTTAAAATTTTTCAGGCCGATTTAAGGTTTCAGCGTGGACTCCGACGCCCACAATGGCTCGGTCTGGCTAGTTTCGGCCGATCTTGTGCGAAAACCTACAAAACTTGAGGTTAGGTGACATTTGTTGGTAGAAAAAAGAAAAAAAAATGAAACTTACCGGCGGATGGGTTTTCTGGTGCAGCGGCTCCGTCGTTCCTCCCTCGTGGCTGGGGGTTTTCTTCAATCATTCTGCACCAGAAAAGAGTTAGGAATCTAATAGTCGGAAAATGAAAGGAAACGGGAAGGGGATTCAAGCTCACTGGAGGGTTTTTGGGTCGCGGGTGCGGCAGCTCGGCCGATCTTCGCCCTCTGTTTCTGACTTCCCTTTTTGTCTTTCGACGCTGAAATGGATTTGGGGTGGCTTAGAATCGAAATGTGAAGCGAAAGGGGTAAAAAACTCACTTCTGGTGTCGGTGACAAGCTCTGGTCTTTGGTGCGGCGACGACGATGGTCGATCTTCTTCTCTGATAACTGGTTTGCTTCTGGCTGCCCCTTTTCTTCTTCTCTGATTCCCTTTTGGCGACTAGGGTTTTTGGTGTCCAGGTAGAGAGGTTTAAATACCTCTTCACTTTTGATCTAGGTCGTATATTCGAGGAGGTGTAGCTCAACCTCAACTGTTAGATTTGTCTTATTTGGATAATGAATCTGGACCACACAATCGAATGCAATCAGGATCGTTCAATAGCACCTGAAAAAGAAACGAATTTAGACCGTCCATGCGCGCTGGAGTAAATTTGGATCGTCGGATCCGTTGGCACGCAGATTGCCCGCGTGGACGCGTGTTTGCCACGTAGTGGATGGTGACTAGCTACGTTGTTGACTATGTGATGTGGCCACTTTTTCGATTTTTTTCATTTGTGCTCAAGTTTTGCAGATTTCTTTTTAAATAAATCTTTTTTTATTTTCAGTTTGGTCCTAATTTTTAAAAATTATTTTCAAATACACCTAAAACATATATTTCTTCAAAATTTTATGAAAAATTAAAATTAAAATTTTTAAAAATTATTTATTAATATAATTTAATTATCTCAAACCTAAATCTCAAATCCGAGTATTACACTTATAGAGTCTTCAAATTGATATATGCCACTTACGTAGAGCTATCCCTACAATAAAAAAAAAATATTACTAAAAAGATAAAAAAAAGTAAAAGAAATAATCAAGATATCTAACGAAATTAAGTAATAATTGTAAAGGTTGAGTAGCTAAACGATTATTTACAAAGAATATATATAGGAAAATACACAAGCATTCATGTGATTCATAAGGTACAAAGTACTTAGAGCCTTAACTTCCTTGTAAATGTGAGAGTAAATATTACTCAAATCATTGTCTAATACTTCTTGTATGTGTAATTTTTTCAATTATCATTAGATTTTCTATTTGTTTTTTTTTTCCTAATTTAACATAAATAAATAAATCTTTACAATGCAAATAATTCTCCATCATTTATTTCCAAATTTAATAATTTTTATCCAATAATTCTATATCATATTAATTATATAAATTTAATTAAACTCAATCACAAAAATAAAATTGGTCTCATTATGAGAAACAAAAAGATGTAAAATAAAACAAATAATTATTATAATTAAACATTTTAAATTTTTTTAATTAAATATAATATATTTTTTTTAAAAAAAAATACACTAATATATTTGGTTTTTCATCAGCTTCAGTTTTCAAATTTTGCGAAAAAAATCAATCGAAAGCTGAACAAAACCAACAATCAAGTAAACTGAACATAACTAGAAGACCTATAATATAAACATATTATGTGTAATTAATATTTTTAATATTTAATTAAATATAATTTAAAAAATATTGATACATTGGTACCTTGCCACTTATTAGATCTTGGTAGATGCCAGATATTGATGTTATCATACACTTTCCATGTATCCATCAACCTCATCATACACATCAAGGAGCATTAGATATTATTATGTATTATCTTCCTATATCTCTTAAATTCCAAAAAATGGACACAGCAAAAGAAAAACCTGTGGAACACCAAAGAAATGCTTCCCCTCATAATCAAAAAGGAGAATGAAACTCTGTAAATGATATTATTTATCATTACAAATCCGGATTATTATCCCAACAATGCACTAGTTTAAAAGATATTCTGCAAATAGTGTGTCCTGTTAAAGCAGTATCTCTAATCTTTTCGACGAACAAATTTCTATTTATAAATGAGCAATTCTGCATTGTATGGCAATCTTCCATATGAACAGACAATAAGTACGACCATGGAGGTTTCGAAGGTCACAGACTGGCAATATAGCAAACAGCCTCCTTAGGGAGAGAGCACATACCATCGTAACATTAGTCAGGACCTAAATGATTCTGAAACCATCTGTGAGCCCCTAAGATCACGGTAACCATATCTTGAAGCTGCAAAAATATATAAAAACACCACAGCAAAAAGGACGCCAAGGGTGATAGCAAAGAGTTGGAAGTTGGCAAGCAACTCGCCTCGAACTTGACTATCTACTGAACGACAAGCGATGGTATTTTCTTTGAGCCAGCAGCCATCTGGCATCATAGGGCCATAAAGAGCGAAAGCAGTCTGATAAAACCATAGTCCTTGAAGGGTTATAGCAATTCCATTGCATAAATCAATCGGGAAGCTGGTACTGAAAAGAGCTCCAGCAACAGATGATAGAACACAAAACCCAATTAGGAGAACAAGGAGAAGATGATAATACCCTTCAAGGCCTTTATGAGTTGTTGAGTGGAAGTAGAATAGAAGGTATTCTGCACAGAATGCTGTTGCAGCAATCAAACAAAGGGCACCATCTGGCAGGGGAAGAAACCTAGAGAAACCCGAAGCAGATTCAATAACATTTTGTTTAATTTAGCTATAATCGATTGAAATAGCAAAATCCTAATACTGCAAAGTAATTTTTGAGTGAACAAACAATTAAAAAACAAATAAATTGATGCGGCCGGGGAAGCCTCTATATAAAAGTTTTTATGTAACTTCTAGTCAGCATTCTTTCTTTACCAATAACTTACACAAGCAATTAAATAGATAAGGAAACCAGCTATATAAGTTAGCTTAAAAGAAAAAAACTATAACTATAATATGTACCAGAGAAATATGTATATACATATATGTATGTATATTAAATACAGCACATACTACCATATAAGTTAGCTTAAAAGAAAAAAACTATAACTACAACATGTACCAGAGAAATATGTATATACATATATGTATGTATATTAAATACAGCACATACTACCATATAAATGTAGGAGTGATCAGACAAAACCATTATTATCAACATCTTCAAAGATCATTTAGCAGTGAAGATTATTAATGAGCCATCTAAAAACAATTTCTTTATCTTTCTCACCAACTCTTAATAATTTCATTTAACTCTTTTGACAGTCATCACGACAATAACTTGGTGAAACTTAAATCGACCTATTAGTTCATGTCAGAGAAAGGATAGCTGAAGTTTGGTTATAGAAAAGCATCAATAGAAATGAAAATGAGAAAGCCAGCTAGAAATGATAACCTTTCCAGCTTTTCAAGCTACTGAAACATGAAATTACCAAGCCAATCAAGTCATATAGTCAAATTATTTAGTTCAAAGGAAGCTTTGGTTTTAACAATCCAGAATCAAAATTTTATCATTTTATTTTCTTTTGCATTTTTAAGGGAAAAAAATTCTCTTACATACTTCTGTCAAGATTTAACAAACAGGTAGTGTTAAAAAAAATATTTAAAACATATGTAGAAACAAAGTTCAAAGAACACAATGGAAAGAGAAGAAAAAGAAAGAAAGAAAGAAAGATGAAATGTTTTGGAGCAGCAAGTTAGAATGATAACAAAAAGTTTATGCTCTGCCATTCTCTGTTCTCTTCCTCTGCACACCTCATTCTCAGTAATGTGCCACCTAATAATTTAAATTATAGTAATAGTCTCCAATTTTTCGATATCTCTAGTTCCGATCTTCCATCTATGTCACAATTTATGCAGAATTACTGTATAACCAAACAGATATGAAAACAATATCTTAATTCTTATGCAGAATAATCAAAAAGAGACTCCTATTCCTAAAGTTCTTTTGCTTTGCACAGAAGGGACAGACCCATGTTGAATTAGGCATGGTTAGGTGAACCTGTCACTTCAATCAGTCCCAAACCATAAATAAGAAAAAGAAAAGAAAATTACAAAGTTATACAGCAGATTGTTACACAGCACTACATAACAGAAGGCCGTTAAACATTACAAAAGAATAGTTACTAACCTTGTTTTCTCCGACAGTAGAGTGATTACACCAAAAGTAAAGAACATGAGAAGCATCCCTGAGTGCTCAAAATCATTCATGTGAGAGGGATTCAAGACGCCATTCACAAAAAACTTGAGGTGAGTTGAATATAAAAGCTCAATGCACATGTCTACAAAAGCACCAATTGCCACCACATAAAGTTCCAAGTACTTCAACTTTCCATTAAAACCCGGAACTGGGTTCCAGACCTGGACCCGGAAAGATTTGGGATTCGACACATATCTAAACACGGAGCTCCATATGTGCCACAAACCAACCACAAGAAACAACGTCCCTGGTAAAGCATGACCTTTGAAAGATCCCATTCCCCAGAAGATATTTATATAGACCAGTCCACCTTATGTTTAGCTTCTAGTTTGATCAACAAAGAGTTTGATCAGCAAAGCATCTACTAGTCCTTTGCAAGGGCTAAATACGGCTACATCCGACACAAATCAAGAGATGCTTCTGTCTCAGGAATAGTTCCATCGTTTCGTAGACCTTCAGAAAATTAGAGGAACTATGCTTTTATTTTTCATAACATTAAATATAAAATGGAAAAATAAATCCACACTGGAAAACAAACAAACCCATGGATCAACTGACTCTGCTGCAATTAAGTAACTCCAAATTTGATTTTGAACATTTCATCAACCAGAGCAATAAATATAATCAAAATTTCCCTTCAAGTTTCTTCTCTTTAGTTCTCACGACAAGCAAAGGGAATCAGAAAGAAAGTAAGCATCAGAGGTTTTGTCTATCGAGATTTTGTTAAAGAAACCAATTTTGAGAAGTCAAATTTCATAACAAGGAAAAGACGCCCAGTTAATCATGATTTCAAATTGGTGAAAAGAAACTTGTAGTGGAAAAAGCCGTTAGAAAAAACTGAATAAAGCTCCAATCCCTTTTTTAAAAAAAGTCTCATCATAGTTAAAAAAAAAAAAATAGAAGATGAGAAATCCGACGAACGCCCTTACAAACATGGAGAACGAGAGAATCCATATATATATAGGTCATGGCCGAAATTTATCTAAAAGCACGTTTCAGAAAGCATATTTTTATATAAAGGATGAATTGATCGAGTGTAAAGAGAAGTAATGATAGTGTAATAATGGAGTATTGGACGTACTTACATGATATGATTGAGTAGCGAAACATGGGATCGGGTTGCCGTGCAGAGAGTATGATTATGCTTCCTCCTAAAAATTCAAAGTTTCAAAAGATAAAATTAAAAAAACCCTTTGAATGTAAAGGAAAAAATCTGAAAGTTTGATGAATATGATGGTGGTGCGATCTGAGAAAAGAAGTCAGCAGTCTGAAAAGGAGAAGGGCAAGACGCCAAAAAGGCGACGAAGGACTCTATACAATATTTCCGCCATGTGTGTTTATGGCCCTTTCTCTCTTTTCTTTCTTTTTTAAAATTTCAACTTTTTACGCTATTGTTTAAAAAATAAATAAATTCAGAATAATAATAATTTTTTAATTTTCAATATGTACATTTTTTAATTAGTTAATAAGTTAAAATATTTTAGCATAAAAATATAAGATTGATTAATTATTAATAACTTTATATTAAAATAAAATTTACTTTAATATTTATATTAGATAAGACGAATAAGAATTTTTTAAAATTTTAAAATATTAGAGAAATTTTGTTAAAAAATAATATTAATTTAAATAATTATATATTATTTCTTATTTTAATATTTTATCATTAATTTTATAATATAAGTAATGGAATATAATAACGTTGAAGTAAATTTTATTAAATATTATATTTTAGTGAAATCATTTTTTATCAGAACCTTGTATTAAATGTTATATACTTTGTATTAAAATCATCATAAAAGCTTCTCCTTCACTCTCTAAATAATTATTTAAACATGTGCAGTCTGCTACTGTAGCTATAAATTAATATTATTATTTTCAATTCAACAAACACAACAAATTATTTATATATATATATATACAATTTATAATTATGAACGACTATACAAGAAGAGTATTTAAATTAAAATTAGAAAAATGATAATTTTCAATTTTTCCTTTTAAAAAAAGATTGAATTATAATAAATATAATATTTATAGTTTTTTAACAATTTAATTTTAATGCTGATAAAAGCCTATACAAACTTAAAATTAAGCTAACTAGTCTTTTAAAACTGCACAACAAGTATTAAAAGATTAATTAAGCTAGTTAAATTGTATTTTGCACAAATTTAATCATTAAAATGTAAAAAAACTTATCATTTTAACTTGTAAATTTTAATTTAATTAAGTCTTTTTTTATTAATTTTTATAATTTTTTTTAATAAGTATCAAGTTTGGTATCATTCTGTCTTGTCTTAAACCATATTAAAATTAAAGATATTAGTTAATAAAATTTAAAACAGTTATTTCTAATTATCAAATAAAAAGAAAATAATTTAGTCCAAAAGAAAACAGTATTTTATATTTTGATGCGTCTCCTTTTTCTTTCTTGATTTTTTTTAATTATTTTTCAGTTTAGGTCATTTTTTAGGTTTTTAACCTACCTTTATTTTCCCTCTTTAAATTTTCCTTCTTTTTTTCAATTTTTCTTTTTTGATTTTCTTTTACCATTTCTCTTATTTTTAAAAAAAAAAATATCTTCAAATATATATTAATTTTTTTTTTAGAATCAAATATTATTTCTTGATTAATGTCTCTGAGCCCTTCGCCCCATTCACAAAATTGTATAGATGTGGCCCTACAGGTTGAGAATGTTGATTTTTCTTTGTTCTTATTTATATTTTATCAAAATTTATTAAATGCTCTGATACTTACTGTAACGGCCCCGGAAATTTAAATGAATGTATGTATTAAAAATCTCAATGCGGAGCGTAATAAAATTTTGATTAA